GCGGCTTCGAGTTGAGGAGGCGGGCTCTGCCTCACAGAGCTATGCTGTGACTGGCCCAAAGGAAGATGATGGACCGTAGACGGTCCCCCAGAAGCCGTGCTAGGCCTCGCCAGAGCGCCACGCTGATTGGCTGATACCGTGGGCAATGGACAAGGTTCGTGGCGCCTGTCTCGCACTGATTGGCCTGAACGGGATTGATGGAAGACAAATAGCTTCGGAGGATAAGGGTGCGTAGGCCCTATCCTCCACTGATTGGAGGATGAGAGGCTCCCAGACAGCTGCCAAAACACTAAGGGGGTGGTGCTGCACGCCACGCTGCTTAGCGGAAGCAGGACTTATATAGAAATGGGCGTAGCAGCCAGCAAGGATGGGGGTCGACCCAGGCTCTGCGTAGGCAGGAAGGCAGAATGGCTCCCAGATGCTTGGAGCAATGTCGAATGGCAGAAATTAAATGCTTACAAAAAGAGCTGCGTCGAGCTATGGCTAGTTATACAAGGGCAGAACCTGGCTCTGGAATGATTGGCGGAAGCCGGGCTCTGCCTAGAATAGGAGCAGAACTAGGGAGGGCGGGATCTGGCTCTTCGTTTATTGGTGGAAACCAGAACCATTTAGAAGCAGGGGCGAGTCCAAGGTTGGGTTGAAACGGACCTGGGTGTAAGGGTACCCACGGAAGGACTGGGGTACAGGAGAGGGTTACACCTTAGGGCTAGGCGTGAAGGTCCAATTACTTAGGGAGCAAACCTCCATCCAGAATCGGCCCATTTTCTCTGGCAATTCAAAGGGAGGTGTGTGTGGAGAGGGAAGGAATGGAAATACGAGGTAGGGCCCAGGTTGCCAAGGCGATAGGAAAGAGGGCAGAACACAAAGTCAAGAGGCAAATGCTGCCAGCTAAAAGGTTGGAGGCAGGACTTTAGGGGCTCTTTGGAGGTTCCACATAGAGACTGGGTATCTAGGTCTCCCAGTAACTATGTGGTCTGGAAACAGGGCACCTTGACAACCAGCAGGGATTAAGGGGGAAAAGAAGGGCCATGTAACGCAAAGGCATTCAGGCTCTTTAATGTCGGAGGAAGACAGGAAGAAGTCAATGGTGAGACATCTCTGGAAAACTCTGCAGGCCCTGTAGTTCTCTAAGCCCCTGAAAAAAAAAACAAAAAACAAAAAAGACTGAACAGAGACTGGGTCCAGTGTGATGCCCCTCCCTTGGCTTCAATTTAGAGACAAAAGTGGTTCTTTCCTTCTCTGGCTTTCTCCCTTCTTCAGGCCTCCACCTTAAACACATTTGTAGTAGTCTAGGAGTGGGGTGAGCTGCTCTCACCTCTAGCAACATGTGGATATGGGCCTTGATATTCATGGAGTCCTTGGTGAGGCTGTTGCTGAGCCTGGAGAAAAGAAACAAGACAGGGCAAAGTGGGCCCCACTTATGATTATGTCAGCACTAGAGGGAGGTAAACTGACTAGTTTAGGAAGACCCATCTGGCTGCTGGGCAGAGAAGTGACTAGGAATAAGGAGAGCTACTGGGGAAGTGTGAGAAATGGGGATCAGGCTGCAGTGGTAACAGTTGAGGTGGATTTGAAATACATACCAGTCTTCAAAATGTTCACAGAAAATGTGTATTATGGAAAAAGAAAAACTAAGCAAAGGTTTCAAAAATTTTTTCACCAAAATAAGTTCGTACTTTATTTTTTCATGAACATTTCTCAAGTACCCTTGGATTTACCAAAGGGATGTACAACAGGTGTGAGAGAGGGAACTCCAGGAAGATGCCAAAGTAACTGGGAAGCAGGAGCTGCCTGAAACCACTAGGGCCCTGGACTATTGAGCTACAGAAACTGATTTCTTTAGTCTAAGCCAGTTTGGATCAGGTTTTGCCTGATCACTTAATTGATACAAAGGGTTACGGAAGGCCTTTCTGAAGAATAAGAAAGATGGGGCCAGCAGGTGGTATAATGGCTAAGGCACTGATTCCTACACGGCCAACCATGGTTTTAGTCCTGGACCTGGCAGCTTGAAACTTATGCCAGGCGCCTGTGTGTGTGTGTGCCCAAATCACGAGAGGAGAATGGAGGAAGAGGGATTGTGGCATGGCCATCTTCCCAGGGGGTGATTTCTCACTTTCTCTCTCTGTCACGCACTTACGCCCTATAGCAAAAATCACTAAGAAAAGGAGAAAAAAAACCCTGAAGAATGAATAAGAATTAAACAGTAGGAGGGTCTTTTCCACAAAGACCAAGAGGCAGGAAAAGAGCTTTTTGAGGATCAGTCAGGAGATCAGTGTTAGAAATTAAGTGAATGGTGCAGGAAAGTGATGTAGGATAAGGTCCAAGAGGCAGAAAGGGGCTAGATCATGCAGGGTATTGATAGAAGGAATGTGGATTTTGTTGTGTTGAGCTGTGCTGGCCTTGAGGTTAAGGGAGATGGATCCTACTTGGCCAACCGGGGTTCAAATCCTAGCCTGGTGGCTTGAAAAACATACCCGGTGTGTGTGTGCACATGTGCCCCAAATCTTGGCAGGATGGAGAAATGGAGAAGGGATTTCAGCATGACCATGGCCCAGTAGGGGTGCTTTCTCCCTCTTCCTCTGTTTCTTTCTGGTGAACACACATGCCCTCTAGCAACTAAGAAGAAAGAACATTGTGCTGAGATATGTGTCAGTGTAAGAGTCAGTTTGAGGGGTAATGAAAACAAAATACTGTATGAAGCCAAAGGATAGGACTCTAAATTGAAAAAATAGGACAGGCCCATCTTTATACCACTATTGTCCACTGTTATATTTTCAGCCCAGGCTTCTCTCCTGAACGTGACTTGGGAGTTTTAATTATATCTTTAAAAAAATCTACTAGTGTTTAATAAGCACCCCCATCCTTAACAGGTTCAAGACTGAACCGATCTTCCCCTCCAAATCTGTTCTCCTGTCTTCTCCATCTCAGATAATGGCAACTCCCTCCTTCCAGGTTCTCCACCAAAAACCTGGACTCCTCTCCTTTACCATCACACCCCACATCTAATCAACCACTCTATTTAAAATCACATCTGCTCTATGGCAGGCAAGGTATCTGATCATTTTATGCTCTTTCTCTGTAACACTGGCAACATCTAACATGACACATCATTTTTTGTTTGTTTTCCCTGACTAGAAAATTAGCTGCACAAGGGCAAGGATTTGTGTATGTTTTATTTCCTGCCATATTCCTAAGGAGCCAGAAGAGAATGTGACACAGAGTAGGCACCCAAGATATATTAAATGAATATGTGAATCACTACTCCATTCAAAGGAACCAGAGGTCCTTAATGTTTAAGTCTATGCTTAGGGCAAGTCAAGAATGAATCACAGTGTTGTGCCAGACAGCAAGAATACTTTCAAGAATATCTGGAGTAGTGCTCAAAGAACAGAGTAATGAACCTGATCAGCTCCTAAGGGAAAAGTGAACCTTAAAAAAGAGAACAAAATTAATTAATGTTCATAGATGAAGTCTACGAAAGGCTACAAGTTCAACACTTAAAAGAACAAAAACATAAAGTTTACGAAATACTATTAGGTTGTCAGGAAAAGTCATGATGTATTTTTCTATGTTTTTCTATGCAAAAATGCATCGTGACTTTCCCTGCAACACAAAAAAGATATGTTTAACTTATTACTACTGACTTAATATGTGAGGTAGTGTTTTTATTTTAATTTGCCAGAGGCTGCGTGTGCTTGCCAGAGAGAAAGAGGAAGAGGAGAAAGCATCCCCCAATGGGGCATGGTCATGCCACAATCCCTCTCCTCTATTTTTCCACCCTGTTGGGATATGGGGCTTGCACACACACACACACACCTGGTGTGTTTTTCAAGCTGCCAAGGCCAAGATTCAAACCATGTGGTCAGTCATGTGGGATCTGGCACCCTTACCACCAGGCCACAGAGCTAGCCCAAGGCAGTGTTTAATATAGTCATATGGTTATGCTGTTTCTCCTATAATTACATGTACTTTCATGTGTATAATGGAGTCTTCAAAATGTTCGTGGAAACGAGTATTATAAAAAAAAAAACTATGCATGGATTTCAAACTTTTTTGTGTTTAGACTTGGTCTCGTACCCAAGATACATTACTATGTATATACAAATATTTCAAAATCTCAAAAAAAAATCGGAAACCCCAAACATTTCTAGTTCTAAGCATTTTGGATAAGTGATACTTCACCAGTATTTGATTATTGGTCTCATCACCAAGATGAAGAAATCTGAGCAGGGGGATGGCTATGGCCTAGTGGTTAAGGGAGCTGGACCCCACATGGCCAATTGCATAGTTGGAATCCTAGCCCTAGTGGCTTGAAAAACACATTGAGCAAGTGTGTGCATGCACACCCAAAATCCCAACAAAATGGAGAACTGGAAGAGAATGAATTGTGGTGTGATCATAGTCCATTGAGGGGTGATTTTTCCCTTCTCCCTTTCTCTCTGCCTCTCTCTGGCAAATGCACATACCCTCTGGCATAATTTTAGAAAAGAAAAAAGAAATCCCAGCAGGTCTGACATTCTTTGGGGTCTACTAATAGTGAAACCCTAGAAAGGTTTGGAAAGAGAAATGTAGTAAAACCCTGATGGAGGCAAATCTGGAAGAAATGAATGTAAGGCCAGTTGGTGGTGTGGTGATTAAGGCAACTAGATCCCACGTGGCTGACTACCCAGAATTGAGTCCCAGAATTGGTGGCTTGAATACACGGGACTTTGTGTGCCCAAAATCATGAGACCAGAATGGAGAAGAGATTACAGTGTGATCACC